CCCCCCCCCCCCCCCCCCCCCAATATGATAAGGCCCTCAGTGGGTCAACAGTAAGTTTCCAGACTTATAAAACTGAAATTGTGTACTTTACATTAAAAACAGTCGTATGATGTAGTTAAAGGGAAAACGACCCCATCTGTTGTCGTACACTGCAGTTTTCAACATAATTTTGCTAATGTTATTAAAATAATCGCAAACTTGTGTATCACTTTTTTTTCGTTTGGTTAATATCGGGTGGTTACAGTTTAAAGACTGAAATCAGAGTTACGTGTGTACTTGTAAGTTAACTCTAACATTTGTCCCGTTTCATCAAATAATGTGACTATTTTCGAATGAAAGAAAATGATGTGTAGAAGTTGGACAAAGAAAGAAAAGAGCAATCGGCCAGCAGTGATGTTGGGATGTATACCGTAAAATAACTTTTTAGACACTAGGAATAACTGGTAACTTTTTCGTTACACCAAGTGACGTCATACCTAAGCATGAATGAAAACTATAGGAAATAAATGGGTTCATGTTGGAAGAGTGTCATTCGGTACGAAACCAATGTGTTTGAAAAATTAAATTTTCTAGTGTGTGTGTGTGTGTATATATGTATATAAAAGTTTAATACTTATTTTTGGAACTTCAAATTAATAATATTTTAAACAATTATAAATTGTTCTTTGTAATATATCTTAATATACAGTGTTACATAATATAGCGCTATCTATTGACGAGATATATATTATTTCCAACTCGCGCCTTTTTTTTTTCTATCGGGTCTGGGCGTGGCATAATATTTAGAGTACCAGTCTGAGGAGCCTTGGTGAGTTATAAAAGTCATGTTAAAATCACGCTTTACCATTAGAGTAGCCCGAAAATTGCTGACTAACTACCTTCGTTGTAAGTCAGTTACTAATTAGGAAAGAGATGCACAGATAGCCCACGTCTGGCATTTCGTAAATATCTGAAACAAACAAATATTATTTTCCTTCTAGTGTTAAACCATGCAATTCCCAAAAAAAGTTGTTAATTTTCTATTTCAAGGACATTTTTTTTATTGAAGGGTGTTTTTTGCTTTGTTTTTAAGCAATATCATTATAGTAACAAAACTGCCTTACTTTAACTGACACAACAATGAAAATATTCAAACCACAAACTTTGTAACTTGTATCTTTTTTGAGTAGTATTGTTACGACAGCGGAAGTCACGTAACCCTGGTAACACGTGATGAGTTTCTAGAAGGATAGTGAAGG